GGCTCCCCCGCACCACAGCCGGGAGGCGGCGGGGAGGGGGCCCGGAGAGGGGCGTGTGCGGCCAGGGGCGCCCCGGCGCCTACGCAGGAGACCGGGAATGAGGGGCAGGGTGCCGGGTGCTAGCCAGGGCCCGCAGATCCGCGCCCGATGCGCCGGGCTCCCGCGAGCGCGGGGTGCGCAGGCGCCGGCGGCCCTGGGGTCCCGCTCTGTAGCTGCAGCTCAGGCCCCGCGGCCGCAGCTCCGGTTACAGGCTGCGGCGAAAAGGCAGCCGCGGCCGCGGCGAGCCCGGCTGGGGCTCGGTGCCACATGTGTGTTTGAGTTTGGGGAGAAAACCTTTTAAAATAGTTCATTGCTGTGACCTTGGGCAAGTCACTTCTGGCGCCCAGCTTTGACCCGCTCACCTGTAAAACTGGGTTCAAGTCAGTTTTTCAGACTCGCTCTGGGGGTGCAGCAGCGGAGCCCCTCTTGGGTGGTGCAGTGGGGAGGCCCGGGAGCCTCCAACCCGGGCATCCAGACCCCCTGAGGCCCCTGCTGCCCCCGTGCTGTGCTGGGAACTGCGCCCGGGAGCTGTGCCCACGAGTCTCCGTGCCACCTCTCCTGGGGATCACTGAGGGGGTTCCCTGCGGCGGGCACCTGGCACCTCAGCGCAAGGCTCCTCCACGAGAGATGAAGCTGCCGGGCCGGGCTCGCGAGGCCGCAGCAGGACGCACTTCCTGCAGTGGGCACGGGTGGCCCTGGACCGGGGGTGCAGGCAGGGCCAGCTGACCCTGTGTGGTGCCCTGGTCGGCGGGAGTGGCGTGAAAAACAAAGGCGGGGCCACCATGGGCTGGCGGCCCCATCACCCAGACGCCTCTGGGGGTTAGCCCAGCCCGTGTCCCTCTGCCTCGGCTGCCTCATGGTCCCGGGCCGACTGTCTGGGGGCCCCTGGGCTGCTCTGCCAAGGCGCCATGGCCCCGTGGGCGCGCTGACTGCCCAGCAGGGAGCATGAGGGGTCTGAGGGGCCAGCAGGGCCGGGCGGGGACAAGAAGCAGCCTGCTGCTCTCTGCGTGCTGGGGCCCCCGCCGTAGGCCGCCCCTCGAGCTGCCTCACCTTCCTGCGTGTATGGGGCGTGCAGGTGAGGGCATGGGTGTCGGAGTGAACCACCTCAGCGGTCCCCAGAAAGGCCCCCAGGAGAGGTGGCGCGGAGGCTCCTGGGCACAGCTCCGGGGCGCAGTTCCCAGCACAGCGCCGGGGCGGCAGGGCTGGGGGCCTCAGTGGGTCTGGAGGCCCCAGGAGGCTCCCAGGCCTCCCCACTGCTCCACCCAGCAGTCTGTGCCGGCCAAGGCCACCGGCCCGCCAGCACCTCCTCGCCCGGACGCCAGGGGGCAGCACCACAGGGGCCGGGCAGGGCCCCCGAGAGGACGCTGACCTCAGCCCTGGGAGCCGGAGCCAGCGCAGATACACCGGGGCTGTCCCGTGGCCCACTGGGCCCTGAGCGCTGAGCATCAGGGTGCAGACACTGCCTCCCACTGCAGAAATGCGCCGCCTCTGAGAAGTGTGGGTCCTGTCCAGTGCTGGTGAACTGGCCTGTGGTCTGGACCCTGCAGCTGGCCACCGTGGGCTCTGTGGGAGGAAGTGTTGCCAGCGCAAACACGTCTTCTGCCAGCTGAGGCTCTGGACAGCGGTGGGGACTGTGGCCACATGCGGGGAGCCTTCAGGCACACCCAAGGGCAAGACCGAAGGGCAGCCCACAGCACCAGCCCGCAGGCCAGCTGCAGCAGCCAGTGCTGTGTCCCAGCTGGCAGAGAGAGCTGCCCTGGAGCTCTGCCCCAGGACCCCGGGACCCCGGGGAGCACCCCGGCACTGAGCCACGCGAGGGCCGGCCCTGCCCTGGGACCCCTGGGACCCCCTGGAGCGCCACGGAAGGGCCAGCCCTGCCCCGGGACCCCCAGGAGCGCCCCGGCACTGAGCCACGGGAGGGTGGGCCCTGAACAGCCGGCGCTCTCGGGCTGCTCCAGCACCAAGGCTGCGTCCATTCTCACCGCGGCTGTGGCAGCCACGGGCCACAGCTATTTCTGATTTGGCTCCTGACTGGAGACGGTCAAGTGGACTCGTGGGAAACGGGGAGCTCCCCAGGGCGGCGCGGCCCCGCCCCACTGACTGAGGCTGGCGGCGCTGGGGTGCGGAGGGGCCTGGGGAGCCGTGGTGTTGGCTTGTCACACCGGGCTGTGACCCCACGGGCTCAGCGCAGCCTGTGTGGGGGGCTGCGGGGTGCGGGGAGGCCCGCGGATCCTCGGCGTGAGGCAGGGAGGAGCCGCGCTGCCAGCCGGCGCCCCGACGGGCGGGCTCGGCCGCCCTGTCTCTGGCCATCACATCCACACCCCAGGCCCGGGGCGCCCTGAAAGGCAGCTTTCTCTCCCGAGCTTGCGGCTGGGAGTGCGGGGCTGCCTCCCCGCACCTGCCCGGGTCTCGGGGTCCTTTCTGCCAATCACAGGCCAGGGGGCGGGGCCGTGGCTGGAGCGGACCAATCACGACTCACCCCTCTCACTGGGGCGGGGCGGGGTGCGCTGGGGGTCCCAGGGAATCCCAGGTGACCCCCCTTGCGGGCGGGCGTGTGAGTGACCTTCCGCAGAGAGGGCGCTGTGCCCCCTCTGGAGCCGAGGCCTGTCGGAGACGCCAGGTGTCCGCGCCCAGCTGACGGGGGGCCGCTGGGGTCTCCTGGGGGGCCGCTGCGGTCTCCGGGCGCGCGAGGCGGCTGAGTCGCCGGCTGGTGCGGCGTCTCCTGCTCAGCCTCGCGGTCTTTATTCGTGGGCTCAGGCCGGCGGTGAGGCTGCATCAACAAAAGCATTGAAGCGAAGTCGAAATAATTATTACTTATTTTTCATAGTCACTTGGAGACCCCTGTGGCCTCGGACGGGAAAGAAACTTGTCTGGTCATCTCAAGAAAAACATAAGAAACGGTCAAGGCTTCTAGTGGACCTCATCTCCCAGCAAGCCCATCTCTGGGCGCTCGGGGATGCGCGACCACCTTCCTGACGCCCTAAGGCAGGCTCCTACCCCTGTGCCCTGCTGTGTTACACATCTGTATTCCTGAGGACATCACTAGTGCGCTGCCTTCCCGGAGCTCTACTGCTGCGACTGACGGCTCTTATCTGGCTCCTACAGTCAGGTCTGTCTTAGTCTGGTCTAGGCCAGGGCCGTCTGACCTCCATGTCACTGCGAAGTGCGGACCTTTAGAGCACACCGGAAAATCTGCCTGTGCGCCGCGCACCCCGGGAGAGCCTGGTCGCCACCACAGTTAGCTGAGCACCATCTAGTTCCCCTGTCAGGGCCACAGCCCGTTTCTCCTCGCCCCTTGCAATGCTAATTTCTGTTATGCATTGTGCCGATTAATACTTTACCCAAGTTGATGTAGAAGGCCACTCGTATGGCCAATTCTAGACTATTAACCAAGAACAAATGAGGACGTTTCAGCAGGCGATGCTGTGGACACTCCCCTGGATTCATCTTCTTTGGAGGTTTAGAAACCCCCCGTCCTCCCGAGTCTCCCCAGCGCCCTCACCATGTCATAGACAGCACTGGCTGTGCGGCCTACGTCGGAGACAGAGGGGCATGGAGGCCGGCGTCAGGGTCACCCCGGCCATGTCTGGCCAGGCGGTGGGCGCCTCCTGGCGTCTGAGCTGCCCATTTCACTTCTCCAGCTGAGTCTCCAGCTCAGAGGCCCCCACTGGTCAGTAAGGAGGCCCAACAGGGATGTTCCTGCCTGCATCCTCCAGGGAGCGGCCTCGGCACCCCCTGGCCTTGGGGCCCTGGCCAGGCACTGCGGCGGGGAGGGCCCTGGGCCCCTGGAGAGATGGGAAGGCGGAGCGTGGCCACACAGCCAGGGAAGCGCGAGGCCCACGCTCTGGCCCTGGCCGCTGGCCACGGGAGGAACGCCGGGATCAGGAGGCCACGGCGGCCTCCCAGCCTGAAGGGGAAGTCTGTCAGGAAGAGCTCTCACCAAAGCGTAAAAGACACTTAACAAAAAATACCTTGCGAGTTCCGGGCCCTGCTGGACTGCCGGGAAAGTACAGACGAGGCAGGCCAGCTGGTGGCCGCGGTCTCTGCCCAGGCGGGGGCTCTGGCCCTCCCGCACTCCCATCAGCACAGCCCCGAAGGCCCGAGGTGGAAGCCGGGGGGTCGTCGTGGGAGCGTGGGTGCGTGAGGGACCGGGCACGAGGAAACTGCCGTCTCCAGTCCCTGGCGGCACGTGAGCAGCTGCCCGAGGCCATCACAGGGCAGCGCCGGCACTGCTGGGGGCGTGTGGGCCCCGGCGAGCCGCGGCTGTGAACCGCTCGCGTGGACGGGCG